GGTGGCTGATGATGCACCCCACTTGTGAGCAGAAAAGGAGCGGCATTATATAATTATATACATAATTATACATATATATAGTATATATATATATATATAATCAAATATTAATCAGCAAGTGCGGGTGTGATTTTTTGACGCGAGCGTCAGGGTGCTGGTACCCGACGACACGAGTCCAAGCAGGACCCGCACGAGCTTTGGTCATTATTTTGACGTCAAAAACATCTTGCAAGGACCAGCACAGCAGTGCTCAGTTTGGACTCATTTGGAACGCGCCTTGCATTGCACTTGTCACGTCCTGTATTAGCTGTGCAGACCGTTGCATTGCCGCTTCCGATCCAAGGACAGTGGAGGCGAGCTACAACTCGTCAGATCCCTGAGCCAAAATCAACCGGTACTGCGCGCAGCATGTTGTTTTTAAAGAAACGACAATACGAATACCGTAATTTGGAACTGAGGTCGGACATAGAATCATCTCCCAGTTTTCCATATCAGGCCTTGGCCTTTTGCTCCCTTTTTCAAGGCTTGGCATGCTTTTAAGTTTACTGATGAGGTTCCAATGGGTGCTTTGCGATGGAACAACGGAGGCTATTCCGCGTGTTCTCCCGTTGAACTCCTTTGACGTTGGAACTTTAATGCGGTTTGCCAAAGGCCGCGGGCTTTTCTCACAAATGGATCCTTCTGTCAAGGTGCGCAGCAATGTGGTCTCTTGGTTGCAAGACTAGGACCTTTGTTGCAGTCAGGTTGGTATAGACAGGTCAACATCACAAAGGTGTGTAAATGCAAGAAGTCATGCAGATCGAGAAAAGGGTTCAATAGATACGTGTTTCTGTTTTAGATGTAACAGCGCAAGGATCTTAAGTATCTTAAGTAGCAAAGACAAGCGGCATGTGTTGTCGCTGGTGCTATTGATCTCGTTGATAATCTTGTTTGTACAAAGATTCCGACAAGTCAGTCATTCTGTAGCATTGTAATGTGGTTGTGCTGTTTCAGTGGAGCCCAAGGTCCAGCTGCGAATGCTTGATGTGCGATACAATCGAACAAAGCTGCGATATCGCTTTATGGTCAGCCCTACAACCGGGATTTGTGTGTCTCCATTGAATCCATATCATTTGTTTTTGCATGTATTTGCATTGCGCTGCTTGTAACGATGGAGACTAGACAGGGTGTTTAGGAGTTTTCGCAGCACGAATTCAGTCGAAGTGTTGGCTTTGATGCAGAAGCTTTGCCTCGGAAAAACAAAGCAGAGTACAAAGCAGCTGTATCAGAGATGTGGCAGGTCAATCAGACTCCAAGTTGCTCTCAAAGACCAAGCGAGGAGCTTCCAAAACGACGTTTGTCCGGACAAACACGAGCATTGGACTTCAAACTTGGGACGTGTTTTTTGCAGTGGATCTGCATTTGTTCAGCCGGGAGACTTCGCTTGAACACGGGGACAACAAGCTGGATTCAGATCGCCAATTCATCACCAACAGCTGAGCGGCAACCACCAGCATTTTATGAAGGTCCAATTTGCATCGCAGGACTTGCTAAGACTCTGTTGCAATGCCTCCAATGAAACAGGTCGACCAGGACTGTTTTCGAACGTCCTTTGCTAAAAACTCTTTTTAAATTGTATGTTAATCATTTGATGAAAGGACAGTCTTTATTATATAGCTATTTCTTGGTTAGTTTATGTAGTCCGTCATACGATTGGAGACCAGGAAGCTTTGCATCTTTGTCTTGCTTGCCTCCAGTTGCGTGGGATCCAGCCAAAAGCTAAGAACGAACTCGACATGGTTCAAGATTGGTGATTAGATTGGTCGGTATCGTGTATACTCTAAGAATGAGGATTACAACATCTTGTAAGATACAACAACAGCATGCTACAGGACTGTATGCTTTAAATTTGGTTTGGCATGTCCGACGGCCGTGTAACTTTCCCGCTCTTTCGATCGTTCACTGTATGCCATGCCCAGAATCTTCGCCCAGGCCCCAGTTCGACGAGCTGCTAGCTCCACCACCCCCAGGCGTAGAGGTAGCGAAGCCAAGGCCTTCAACAAACAAATCACGGAACGAGATGGACACATTTTCCAAGTCAGCATGTTTCAGCGCTTTTGGATGCGGTTTCAACTTGAATTGCCTTTGCATTTGCTTTGCCTCTTCGTTGGTCACTTGTGCTTCCACAATGCTCTTTTGGAGGCGGTCTACACAGCCAGCATTGTGGAGGTGATTGCGAGACACCTGCCATTTCAGCAAGGCCTTGGCCCAGTTTGTGCTTTGGGTTTTCCACATTGAATATTTTCTTGTTTAGCAATTTCTTTTCATATCACATCTTTTCTCTCCTTTCGGGTGCATTTTTCGCCCTTTAAGCTTGTTTCCTCTTTGTTTCGCACTGTGTGACATCCTTTCGAAGCAGCCTTTTGCGAGTTCGACGCTGAGGCCTCGAGAGCCTGCTCGAGGACATGCGGCTGTGGACTCCAAATGGCCAGCCAGTGTGTTTCTCAAGAGAGATCAATGAGAGGGATACCTTCAGGTAGCTTTTGACTTGATTTCAGGTGTTTCTCAGTTGTTTAAATTCCAACAAGAATATGCACGATGCATATCGATGCATCGTGATGTGCTGCTGGGCGAAACGCAGCTGCACCAAACCCGACACCAGGAAAGTCCATGAGCCTTGCTGTGAGGTGCTCATGGCTGGAACTCTGCTCCGCCTACGTGGTGGAAATCTAAAGGTTGCAAGCTTCGGATATGTTTGGACTCTTGTTCCCGAAAGTATTGCGAAGGGTTCTTCCGGAAAATCTCTTGAGCACTGACACTTCTACACTTACACTCACACACTGACACTTCCACACTTGCACTTGAACACTGACATTTCGACACGTACACTTGAACACTTACGCTTCCACACTTACACTTGAACATGAACATGAAGACTTACACGTCTATACACGTCTATACGTATCCAAGTGTAATGTAAGTGTGATGTGAGTATGGAAAACTTGCACGGGAGATGTCCTAATGAATGACATGAAAAACTTGCGCGGGAGATGTCCTAATGAAAAACATTTCAACACTGTATAAATTCTCTCTTAAAGGCGGAGGGTGGGACGAACAGCGTCAACCGAAAATGCAACCCTCTGCGGAGATCGTGCGTGTCGTGTGCGCGAAATGCAGGCGAGAGTGCGATTGGGTCTGTGCGCGCGCAACCCTCTGCGGAGATCGTGCGTGTCGAGTGCGCGAAATGCAGGCGAGAGTGCGATTGTGTCTGTGCCCGCGCAACCCTCTGCGGAGATCGTGTGTGTCGAGTGCGCGAAATGCAGGCGAGAGTGCGATTTGTCCTGTGCGCGCGCAATCCTCTGCGGAGATCGTGCGTGTCGAGTGCGCGAAATGCAGGCGAGAGTGCGATCTGTCCGGTGTGCCCGCAACCCTCTGCAGAGATCGTGCGTGTTGAGTGCGCGAAATGTAGGCGAGAGCGCGGGAGCTGGAAGATGAGAACTGGCGACTTGGTAGTACAACTTTAGTA